GGAATGGGAAAGGCCTCTCTTTGCCCGCAACGAGGAGAGCGGACACCATGCAGAGGAGGCAGTACGGAGCTCAATGGACCAATGGGTTCATAATGAACATTTTTGCTTACAAGACGGGGCCCTCAAGGTAGTGCTTTTCAGCAAAAAATCTGGCAGGTCACCTCTTCAATGGTATCCACACTGTGGGATGGCTTGAGCCATTTTAAAGAAGGAATGCTAATTAAATAATTAATAATTATCATATGGCAGTGTGGGTAGTGTAGCCAGGAGATCCTAAGATTATCTGGCAGGCAGAGGTTCTAGCTCTTTTAGAAGAGAAGGAGAAGAGATTGGATTTGTACCCCACCCTTCACTTGGAGTCGCAGAGCGGCTTACAGACCCCTTTCCCTTCCCCTCCCCACAACAGACACCCCATGAGGTAGGTGGGGCTGAGAGAGCTCTTTCAAGAACTGCCCTTTCAAGGACAGCTCTGACAGAACTACGGCTTGCCCAAGGTCATCCAGCAGCTGCAAGTGAAGGAGTGAGGAATCAAACCCGGTTCTCCCAGATTAGAGTCCACGCACTTAACCACTACACCAAACTGGCTTTTAGCGTTATGCACCACTAGGTGGCGAGCTCGACTTGTTTTTAAGGCCAGAGATGTTTCAGAGGTGGGTTGCCATTGCCTGCCTCTGCGTCATGTCCCTGGTATTCCTTGGAGGTCTCCCATCCAAATACTAGCCAGGGCCAACCCTGCTTACCTTCCAAGATCAGCCTAGTCTGGGCTGTCCAGGTCAGGGTAGAAAGCATGCTATGCTAATGGGACAACAGAAAATCTCACCTTGATATACGTGCTAATAGAGCTCACCTAGGCACGTTTGAATCCCCGCTCTACCACAGAAACTTGCTGGGTGATCGTGGGCCAGTCATACACTCTCACTCTAACCTACTTCACAGTGTCGTTGTGGGGATGAAACGGGAGGAAAGGAGAATGATGGAAGCCACTTGGATCCAGTGTTCCCTCTAAGCTGAGTTAGTGTGAGCTAGCTCACAGTTTTTTAGCCTCCGGCTCCACATTTTTGTCTTAGCTCAGGAAGGGATGGCTCCAGAGCAAATTAATTTAGGTAGTGGCCAAATCGCTCACTCACAACTTTTAATGCCAGTAGCTCACAAAGTAGAGTTTTTGCTCACAAGACTCCACAGCTTAGAGGGAGCAGTGCTTGGGTCCCCTTTGGAGAGAAAGACAGGGTATAAACAAAGCTAAATGATAATATTATATGAGACAGTGGGGGGCTGTGGCTCAGTGGCAGAGTAGCTCCTTGGCATGCAGAAGGTGCCAGGTCCAACTCCAGCATCTCCAGCTAAAGGACGAGGGTGTAGGTGATGGTGAAAGACCCTCAGCCTGAGACCCTGGAGAGCCGCTGCCAGTCTGAGTAGACAACACTGACCTTGATGGACCAATTCAGTATAAGGCAGCTTCACATGTGGGTGTAGTATGGGATGGGTTATGACCTTTAATGCCCATCACGTCCAATGTGTTTGAAAGATCATCTCCTTCCATATGTTCATAGGTGTGACAGCTACAGTCTCCTCCCATCTCCAGCTGGTGGCCAGGGGGGACCCAACAACCCTAGTCATCGGGCAACCATTTGTTACCTATCCCACCACTTAGGGGTGGCCTGCCTGGCACTGACTAAAGCCCGGGCCTTTTCCATCATGGCTCCAGCTCAAGCCCCCCCCCCTCCTGGTCAATCTTCAGGAGGTGCTAAAAGGGCTGCCTGTTTGGGGTGGGGGCTAAATGGCAGGCAGGCGAGCCGGTTTGTAGTGGTTAGGAGCACAGACTCTAATCTGGGAGAACCGGGTTTGATTCCCCACTCCTCCGCATGCAGCTGCTGGTGTGACCTTGGGTCAGTTACAAGTTCTCTCAGAGCTGTTCTCTCAAGGGCAGTTCTCGAAAGAGCTCTCTCGGCCCCACCTACTTCACAGGGTGTCTGTTGTGGGGAGGGGAAGGGAAAGGAGATTATAAACCGCTCTCCTTCGGGTAGTGAAGGTCGGGGTATAAATCCAATCTTTTCTTCTTCATCATCTAAATGTTTAAATGGTACTGATATTTTATGCCAATAAAGGCTGACTTGTCTTGACTTGACTTTCTTCTTCATCTTTTAAGGGGGGGAAGAGAGAGATTTGGGGCTTGCTATTTTATCATTGGTTTTAGCTGGGGATGTTTTAACTATTACTGTAAACTGCCTTAAACCAAGAAGACAGGCAGGATATAACTGTTCTCATAAATAAACAAACCAGTCAGGGAAGAGGGAAGCTGGGCACAGCATCCCTGGAAAGTTCACATCTAGGGGAGATTCTTACCTGTCTGGCTGACATCCTCCCCACCATGCAGAAGATCCGATTCCCAGACTGCAGGACAGCTGGCCCCAAATCCTTAGAGGCTGAAGTCTCTTATCCAAGGCACATACAGTTAGGTCTGTAAAGGAACCTCCCGAGCCAGGACTCATTCAGAACAGGCTGGCATCAAGGAATAGGGAATTCCCTCTAGTCCAGGCAGGGGGGAACCATTTGGGCTGGCCCTATCCATGGGGGGTTCTCTTGCTCACCGATGGAGCCTGATTCTTGCTGTTTTTCGTGCCAGTTCCATCCAAGAGGAGTGACCCAGTTGCAGTGAGGGGGTGAGGAATCCTGCAAAGTGCTGCAGTAACAAAAGCCACAGTGTTTTGCTCACAGAAAAAAGCCTACAAGGGCTTTTTTTGCCTACACCGCAGAATTCGTCGAGAATGGGGGCCCGGGTGGCAAGCAGCTGGGAGTTCTGGCCTGCTTCAGTCACAAATCAGCCAAATTTAGGAGGGCTAAATAAACAGCGGGGAAAACACAACGCGCCACCGGGGCTCTGAGCACCCCACGGGAGTTTAGAAAAGCCCCCCATTTTGGCTGCAGGATGACCTTCCTGAGAAGATCAGTTTCCCCCTTAGAAATACAAAGCAAGTTTCTAGCTCTTGTTGTGTGCAAAAGGATATGCCTGGAAAGTGTGGGAGGAGAATGCTGGGTGTAAGCTCAGCAGCCGAAGGGATCGCTGACTAAGATTTCCACTGGCCTGGGGTAGAGCTTGAGTTCCCCCGCGACTAGCAAAAGCATAATGAATTATGCAGAGTAACAAAAAAAAAATCATTGCTGCAAAAAAGATTATGCAAAAGCCTGTTTCGTTTATACAGGGTGCAGAATTCAGCCGGTCACATTGCAGAATGTGCCTTTGCCCAAGATTTGCTTAAACAGAGTTTCTAAAGCCCTCCGTCCAACTGCTTCATCACCACAGATCGCATTCACTCCCTTGTGTTGTTTTCTCCATCTCTTCCCCACTCCATGTTCTGCTTCCTTTAAGTCAAGAGCAGACAGAAGGCAGCAAACAGCTGGACCACTGGCCAAGTTCCAGCAGGTCCAGGATGCACAAAGAGCCCTCCGGCACCTAAGCAAGAGTCCATCTAGTCCAGCATCCCATGGCCAACCTGATGATTCTGGGAAACCCACAAGCAGGCCATGAAAGTAACTGGGCTCCAGCGTCTGGCGCCTCTTAACATGGGAGGCTCCATTTAGTCATACGCCTGAACAGCCATCACACAACGGCTCTTCCATGAATGAGTTTAATCCCCATCTCGGCCAATGGTCGACTTCACCATCTTGCGGTTCAGTAAGCTAGATATTTGTTGTGCAACTGACCACCTTGCCCCAAGATGGGTAGCCCAGGCAAGCCCATTCTTCTCAGATCTTGGAAGCTAAGGGCCGGCTCCTGAATACGCTTAACAGAACCCGACTTACTGCATCAGACACACTAAAGGACAGCAATGCGTGCAACTTACTCGTACTGCTTTGAAACGCACCGGCTGAGAAGCTTCACAGCAAGCAAAAGAAGAAGAATCGCACCAGGTTCGTCGTTTGTCATTTATTGTTTTTGCGATTTAAAAAAACCCTCCCACAGAACATGACAGCTCTCTCTCTCTCTCTCTCTCTCTCTCTCTCTCTCTCTCTCAGACTAATATCAAAGCGTCCCCATTTAAAATTCATTCACGGCTCAGGGGTTTCTCCTCTTTCTTTGCAGAACAAATTCCTGGCTGAGAAAGAAGGGGTCTGGGTGAGAGGAAGCGTCTCCATTACTGAAGTTGGATGGATCTCTCCGCAGCACGGCCAGAAGAGGACCACCGAGGAGAGGAGAAAGGAAGGAAGGGAACGGCCCTGAGGGGTGGAGGGCTTGCTTCTCCAGTATTTCTTTGTTTAATAAAGGCAGCTGCTTTCCAAACAGCGACACGTGAGCGTGGAGCCGCCGTTCGCTCTGCCGTCTCTCCCAAATACAGCCTCAGTGGTCACCTGCTGCGGCTCAGTTCTTCTTAGTCTTGGGAGTATCATATTTCCTTTTGCTTGAGTACCACAGCAGCAGGGGGATGCCGATGGAAGGGAGAGTCATGACCCCAAAGGCCGCCCAGTCCAGCTTTTGGGGAGAAAAAGGAAAGGAGAAGGGATGAAATATTGGAAGGGAAGTATACTACATCACAAGGTAAAGCAACAGTTGCAAGGTTGACCTCTCCACAGGTAGCCAAAAGCTGCCTTGGGGCACCGCGTGTCAAGAACAACGGGCCTTGAAGTGTGGAGGGAGAATGGCCATTCCACAAATGGGCCATGGCTCAGTGGCAGAGCATCAGCTTTGCACGTAGAAGGTCCCGAGTTCAATCCCCAGCATCTCCATTTAGACAAAAAACAGCAGGCGTGTAGAAAGATCTTTTTCTGCCCAACACCCTGCAGAGCTTCTGCTGGTCATAAGAACATAAAAACATAAGAGATGCCAATGTTGGATCAGGCCAAAGGCCCATCCAGTCCAACACTCTGTATCACACAGTGGCCAGAAATACCAGTGCCATCATCAGGAGGTCCACCAGTGGGGCCAGGACATTAGAAGCCCTCCCACTGTTGACTCCCCAAAGCACCAAGATGACAGAGCATCACTTGCCCCAGAGTCCCTATCTATACCTTGTGGCTAATAGCCACTGATGGACCTCTGCTCTATATGCCTATCTAATTCCCTTTTGAAGCCGTCCATGCTTTTAGCCGCCACCACTTCCTGTGGCAGTGAATTCCAAGTGTTAATCACTCTAGAGGAAAGGTCTGACCTCGTATCACAGCTTCATGGGGTTGGTTACTTTGCCGCCATGTAATGCCTACCCATGCACACACACCCTGGTTGCTGAAACTCCCTTTGGTCAAAACATTTCAGGGCATTGTGGAAAGCACTGCTAATTACGATGGAATAACGCTGGAAACAAGCATAGATGCCTTTAAAAAGGGATTATATGTTTCAAGCTCTTTGGTTTCCCTAATAACCCAAATGATCGAGATTTGACAATATTTCGAAGCTTAACGTTTGACAATGTCTACATCATTATACTGTTAACAAGTGAGAAGTGTTTAAACTACCGAAGAATAAGATGGAATGTTTTATATATATGTATAATTGTAGAACATAATAAAAACTGTTAATTAAAAAAAGGGATCATATGCAGGTTCATGGAGGAGAAGTCCATCAATGGCTACTAGCCATGGTGAATAAAGGGAGCCGGTACATTCCGAGGTAAAAACCTCTGAACACCAGGGGTTTTTTTGTTTGTTTTTTAGGGGCCATGCTAATCTTCTCTGTATCGTTCCAATTTTAGTATATGTGCTGCCGAAGCGAGCACCTGAACACCAGTTTTAAAAGGCAATGTCAAGGGAAGACCCTGGCCTCTTTGCCTTCTTTGTTGGCCCTCTGGGGCAATTTATTGGCCACTGTGTGAGACAGGATGCTGGACTAGGCACACCACTGGTCTGACTCAGCTGTGCTCTTCTTACATTGCATTGCTTATTTCATGTATTATGCTGGCCTCCACTGCATTATGGTATGTCCCCAGGAGAGCTTTAGGCTCTGCAAATAACCTACTGGTGATCCCTGGCTCCAAAGATGTCTGGCTGTCCTCGACCAGGGCCTTTTCATCCCTGGCCCCACCCTGGTAGAACTCTCTGCCTAATACCACCAGGGCCCTGCGGGATATTATGCAATTCCGCAGGGCCTGCAAGGCAGAGATCTTCCGCCAGGCTTTTGGTTGAGGAGAGCAACGGTTCTCTAGCGTGGCTGGCACCCTCTTCCCTTTCCCCTGAATTCTGACCCTGTGTTTCCTCTCCTCCTGCCCAGAAAACAGCCAGGCAGTCCAGAGCTGGGATGAAATTTTAAGGACGCCACCTGGAACTCTTTTAATCAGTTTTTTAAAATTTGTTATTCTAATTTTGTTAGACCTGAATTTTTAATGTATTGTATGTTTAATTAATGGCGTGGTGCCTTTACTGTACATCGGCCAGAGCCCGGCGCAACCTGGGATGGGGCGATTAATAAATCAAATGAATAATAATAATAATAATTTTTATAATTCTGCAGTCTGCCCTGAATCTCACTGAGAAAGGCGGACAACACATGAAGCAAGTAAATGGCACCTTTAAGACCTTTAAGTTTTATTCAGGTACAAGCTCTCCCTCCTCTGCGAGGGCAGATCTGCACGTTCCCCCCAAATAGCTAGCAATCCAAAACAGTCCAGTGGTGCCTTCTGACACACTTCCAGTGATGTCAGGGGGTGTGGCATATGCAAATAAGTTATGCTAATGGGTTATGCTAATGAGCTCCTGCGCCTCTTTTTCTACGAAATGACCCCTGATCAAACCTAAGACCTCCTGCAGATAAAGGCATTTGTTTTATCACTCAGCCATGGCTCTTCAGCCCCAGGTTGAGACTTCAGAAGGAAGTCATTCCAGAATCCTGGAGCAATAAAAGTTTCAGCCTTCAGTCTCAGCCAATGTTTCAACAGAACGCCAATCGTATCAACGACACAGAACGTTTGCTCTGCCTACAGAATCAGGGGCGCTTATGAGTTGTCTGAGGCAGACTTTGCGTGTACTCACAAAATGTGGTGAAAACCTCCTGTCGAATTCTCGCTGGGCCAGGATCCCCCCCTGCCCTGGAGCACTGGTGAAGCCAACCTGGAAGATCAGAAGGAGAAGGGGGAATTAATTACAGGCCACAATAGTGGACTTGGCTTGGACTATGGCATGGCAGGCACAGCTGACACCAGACAGCTTGGAAACCAAACCCACACCCCACCACTGAATCTGTTGTAGACCTTAGAGCACCCCCCTCCCCCCCAGCTCCTCTAACCCGCTGATCATGAAGGGGAGCACCCAGCCTGACCATCAGCTTGTTGGTTGGCCTCCGCCCACCTCCAGCTGGCTCAGCAACACCAGGAGATCCCAGCAATCAAAACTCAAAATCTAGCACATTTCTAGGAGCTGCCACAGCTGGGGCAAGATATACCGCCCCCCTACCAAGCTGGCTTTCATGGAGGAAAGCACGTCTGTGAATGATTTCTTTATTCCACCCAAACTGACCCCAGCTTTGGGGCAAAGGTCTCCCTATAAGCTAGGTAAGGCCCCACCAGACATCACAAGGGCCAGCCATTTACTCCTGACTCTAACTCCTCAAGGACAGAAAGGAAAAGGCTTCCCCCCCCCCCAAGAGCATGGAGGAATACTAGTGCAGGGCACCTCCTTTTGGTGAAGAAGAAGAAGAGCTTCGATTTATACCCCGCCCTTCACTACCCGAAGGAGTCTCAGAGCGGCTTACAATCTCCTTTCCTTTCCCCTCCCCACAACAGACACCCTGTGAGGGTAGGTGGGGCTGAGAGAGCTCTTTCCAGAACTGCTTGTGAGAGAACAGCTCTGAAAGAACTTGTAACTGACCCAAGGTCATACCAGCAGCTGAATGTGGAAGCGTGGGGAATCAAACCCGGTCCTCCCAGATTAGAATCCGCACTCCTAACCACTACACCAAACTGGTGAGGGGGTAGCCGTCTTTTGCAGGAGCAACCATCCCTTTCTGTCTCCAGTGAGCACTTCCACATTACTTCCCAGCAAAAACCCAGCTCACGGGAGAGAAACCACCTTTCCTGCGGCAAGTTTCTCCAGGAAGGAGAAGCCAGCTGGTTTCTCTGCCTTTCCGGCAGAGAGCTCCTTCTGGCTTTCCATAAAAGAACAGTGTGAGAGCCAAACATAAGACTTGTGGCACGAGTGGGTCAGCAGCCATCCTCCTGAGTAACAGGGTGTGGAGCCAAAAGAACATGGACCCAGCAGGTCTTGCTAGGGCCTTGAAGTCAACCCCGGAGCAAGTACTACTTAGAATCACAGAATCATACTTACCACCACCTGTCCTCCTTCCTGCGCCAGGTACGTGATGGTGGCTGATGTGAAGTTGAAGTAGCCAGCTTTCAGGGGTCTCAGGACCACCGTGTGGGAGACGTTGCTGGCGCTGAGCAGCCACTAGTTAAGGAAGCAAATTTCATCGCAGAAGGGGAACAAAGAAAGAGGCCACGGTTAAGGGGCTGTAGACACCTGGTTGAGGATGCCTTTTGGTGTTATTGCTCCTTTAGAATCTGCAACATATGCTAGAAACATCAAGCATGCTGCTGCGGTTGCTAAGTGGCATTGCATTTCTCTTCCTTCCTTGAAAATGGTAATCGCTTGGACCTAAAGTGCCACAAATCACATTGCTTCATGGAAGTTTCCTCCTTGCCCCCTGCAGAATAGCACACCAGAAAACCAGTAGCCCCAGGAATCAGGAGACCCTCCAGGGCTGGGTATGATGTGGGGATCTGCAAGGGGGTGGCAGGAAAACCAGAAGAACCTGATAATAAACCAGGATCCAGAGCAGGTACTCAAAAGAAACAAAGAGCACACCATTATCTTTGAGTCCAAAAGACTCCAGATCTCGGCAAACAAACATTACATACACAGAGTTCACATGCAGAGCGCCTGAAAATCCTCACAGACCAGTCCAATGTGTGGATGCAACTGGCTTGTCACGGGCTGCAGGAGGAAGGAGCCGCAGACGTGCTCCCCGCCCCCCCGACACTGCCACAAAGCCTAGTTGTCACAAGAAGCCAAATAGAAGCTAAAGGGAGGATGGAGCAGGCTTATGGGTTCTTCGTTTGCTTTCTGAGATATGAAAACAATATAGCCCATCTCTCTACAGCCATGAGGACTAGAAACATAGCTGGGACGTTCAGCATTCTAAGAAGAGTCATCCAGCCAAGATGTAGACACCTGGTTGAGGATGCCTTTTGGTGTTATTGCTCCTTTAGAATCTGCAACATATGCTAGAAACATCAAGCATGCTGCTGCGGTTGCTAAGTGGCATTGCATTTCTCTTCCTTCCTTGAAAATGGTAATCGCTTGGACCTAAAGTGCCACAAATTACATTGCTTCATGGAAGTTTCCTCCTTGCCCCCTGCAGAACAGCACACCAGAAAACCACTAGCCCCAGGAATCAGGAGACCCTCCAGGGCTGGGTATGATGTGGGGATATGCAAGGGGGTGGCAGGAAAACCAGAAGAACCTGATAATAAACCAGGATCCAGAGCAGGTACTCAAAAGAAATAAAGGGCACACTAGCATCTTTGAGTCCAGAAGACTCTAGATCTCGTCAAAGAAACGTTACATACACAGAGTTCACATGCAGAGCACCTGAAAATCCTGCACAGACCCGTCCAATGTGTGGATGCAACTGGCTTGTCACGGGCTGCAGGAGGAAGGAGCTGCAGACGTGCTTTCCCCCCCCTGACACTGCCACAAAGCCTAGTTGTCACAAGAAGAATCCCAAAGAGTAGCTTAAAGGGAGGATGGAGCAGGCTTACAGGTTCTTCGTTTGCTTTCTGAGATATTAAAACAATATAGCCCATCTCTCTACAGCCATGAGGACTAGAAACATAGCTGGGACGTTCAGCATTCTAAGAAGAGTCATCCAGCCAAGAGCCTCTCTGCACAAAAAAGATACGGTGCAATCCTGTCCCATTTGACATTGAGCATGCCGGAGACAATCCCAAAGTCTTCTGGAGGAAACGAATCATCCGACAGCTCCACTTCTAAGGCTGCACTGCAGATAAAACAGATCAGGGAGGTGGGGAAATGTATCAGGAACAAGCTATGATCTGGAGGGGAGACAAAACCTAGAGCGAAGAATATACTAGGGAGCTGTTCACCCTGAATTTCTGGTTGCACACTCAGAATGCCCACTTCGGTGTCAAGAACAGGATTCAGAAGGAATCACTCGTACCTCCAGAAGCCACCCACCCCCCTCCATGGCCTAATGTTGTTTTCCCATCCAAATGAATGCAGATAATTTTGTACTGGATTGTCCTATAAGACTGCACCAGGATGGCCTTGGGGAAGAAGACGAGAAGTGTGCACCATATCCTTCCACTCAACCGCTGTAATGGTCTTTCCCGGACAGTGGGCATTCACCTGGGCCTTGAAGCCCTATAACAGCTCTTACCACCAGCCCTCCCTTATCACCTTCCCAGGATTTACCTGGAACCCACGTTGTAGATGTTGTACTGCAAAGTGAGGTCCCGGCCTTCCACAGCGTATCTGTTCAGCAGAGCCTTGGAGGCCAGGAGCCTGGCCCCCTCCTCACAGTGGACGGAGGCAAAGAGGACCAGCACAGACAGGACCAACAGCTTCATCTGCCAAGACAGAAGGGAAGGTCTGATGCATTTGCTCCCCACAGGAGGCACCGTAGAGGGATGGACTCTGGGAGGGGAAAGGGAGGACTCTGGAAGCGAACAGACAGAAGATAGCACTGCAGTCTTCATAGTGGGTGGAAAGCAATGCAGATTGCAAAGGGAAGTGAAGAGGTGGTGGCACCATTGTAGCACACACAATTTCATACAGCCATATTTGTTAGGACAGAGCCAGTTTGGTGTAGTGGTCAAGTGCACGGACTCTAATCTGGGAGAACCAGGGTTGATTCCCCACTCCTCCACTTGCACCTGCTGGATGACCTTGGGCAAGCCATGGTTCTGGTACAGCTGTTCTTGAAAAAGAGCAGTTTCTGTCAGAGCTCTCTCAGCCCCACCTACCTCACAGGGTGTCTGTTGTGGAGAGGGGAAGGGAAAGGAGTTTGTAAGCTGCTCTGAGACTCCCTTGGGTAGTGAAGGGCGGGGTATAAATCCAATTTCCTCCTCCTTCCCTTCCTCTTCTTCAAAGGTCTGCATTATCCCCTCCCCAGGCTAAACTGAGGCTACCGTACTCGTGTCACATTATGGGAAGACAAAAGTCACTTGAAAGGACAATGATGCTTGGAAAAGCTGAAGGCAGCAGGGAAAAAAGAGGACCAAACAGGAGATGGATTGACTCAAGGAAGCCACGGCCTTCAGTTTGCAAGACCTGAGCAAGGCTGTTAACTACAGGACATTGTGGAAGTCATTCATTCATAGGGTCACCATAAGTTGGAAGTGATTGACACACGCAAGCTTTCCTTGGTCAGATAAAGCAGATGCTTGTGGTTCCACATCAGGAAGGGGGTTGGGCGGCCTGGGGAAAAGTCACGTGTCCATTAAAAAAAAACACCTCCCTCCCCTTTGTGGCTTTTCTCATTGAGAGATCAATGAAAAAGGGACCTGTTGTCTTTTTATTCTCAGCAAGAAAAGCAGCAGGCAAGGATACTTTGAGAAAACAGAGAGCTGTGGCATGAGGGGATTACATTTATTTTCTTCCAGGAAACCCGCCCAAAGCAGCTTGTGGTGGAAGGTGCCATCGAGTCACGGCTGACTTATGGCGGCCCCATAGGGCTTTCAAGGCAAGAGATGAGCAGAAGTGGTCTGCCATATGGCCTGCCTCTGCATAGAAGCTCCCTGGGCCTCTTGATGGGTCTCCCATCCAAATACTCACGAGGGCCAGCCCTGCTTAGCTTCCAAGACGCGACAAGACTGGGTTAGCCTGGGCCACCCAGGTCAGGGCCAAGGCAGCTTATAAAATCAAAATAAAAGTAAGACTCCAAAAGATTAATCAAAACTTTGCTCAGCTCAGGGTTAAATAGCTTCCCCCTTCAAAGTACACATTGAGAGCAATCCTAAACAGGTCTACTCTAAATCCTACTCAGGTCTGTCCAGTGGAGCTTCCACCCAGGAAAGTGTTTTTAGGATTGCTCTGTTAATCTGGAGCTATCCCACCCCATTCTGTACTCAGAGTTGCTTAACGTAGGCCAGAACCCTCCCTTCACCTCTAAATGAGCAGGCCTTAGAGCTGGCTAAAGGTTGCTTAAAGGCTGTTTGAGGGTAATGACCCATTTTAAGTGAACCAGAATATCCAATGCTTGTTATCAGAAGCAAGAAGGGCTGGAAGGGAAAAAGTTTACATCACATCCCAGAAGCAACATTCATGCAGTACTGACAAGAGACCAGCCACTTCAGGGGACAACAGGTGGCTAGGTTTTGTGCCCAGGTTTACAAGGAGTGTAAAATGCATGGCAATTAAGATTTTTCAGTTTTTATCTAAATGATACACACATTTTATGGCTGTCTTATTTTATCTCTATGTTATAGCCACAGTTTTTAAAATTTAGGTACGCCACTGTTGGTTTTATCTCATATTTATTATTCAAATATTTTTATGTAAAATGATTGAGTGCACTGGTCGTTGACTGTAGCAATAAATTTGACTTGATAGGGGACAACGGGCACAACTCTGATGCACAGATTCAAATTCTGAAAAAAGGAACATCAGTCGACAGTGAACCCCAGACCAGCATCTGGATCAGAAGCCTTCAGAACTGGGAGCAAGCAAACTAGGGGCCCATTCGAGGGACAAGGGGGGCTTTCCAGGCCAAGCCCAGAATCTGTCTCTTGCCCTCAGATTGGCTCATGAGCTCCCCAAGCCCACCTTATTCTGCAACAGAGCCAAGCTTACCAGGAGGCCAGGTGAGGTGACTGTCTCAATCACCTGATTTGCAGTCCTATGAAGGGCAACAGAATGGGAGACATGCAACCCACAGGGCCCAGTCCATCCAGAAGATCACCTGTGGCTCCGGTCACACGGGCCGGAAATTGCGGGGGGGGCGTGGGGGGCGTGGCTGTTTGCCCCGGAGCAAAATAACACGCGGCTGTGCAATCAGACGTCCCGTGGAGGTCCCGTGGTTAGGGGTGAGGTACCAATCACAAGGGTTTAACCCCTTCCAGGGCTGCAGAGGAATGCAAACTGTGTCCTCCGTCCGGTCCCCTCCAGAAGGAGCTTCAGCCGGGCCGCCCTCCCGCCAGGCCCCCCCTGTACCTCCCCCTCTGCTGCCTGGTGCAGAGAGTTCCTTTTGAGCAGGCCGAGCCAGGAGTGTGTGTGGGGGTACGGAAAAGAGGAAGGGGCTCTGCGCGCGCGCATGCATGTCCGGGGAGGGGGGATGGGGAACAGGGAATAAGGGATGGGGAACAGGGATAAGCAACAGCCAGGAGAAGTGGTGCAGCAGCTGGAAACCCCACCAGGTCTCCTTAGAAGTAAGCCATGCACCGCGGGAGGGAGGGAGCGTCGTCGTGCCAAGCCGTGGCCGTCCTAGGGTGGCCACCAATGCGCCCTCTAAGCTGCAGAGTCTTGCGAGCAAAAATCCGGTGAGCTCCTGGCATTAAAGTGGTGAGCAAGCCATTTGGCCGCTACATCAATCAGTTTGCTCTGTTGCCACATCCCTTCCTGAGCGGAGACAAAAATGTGTGAACCGGAAATGCAATCAGACACCCGCCCTTGCCCCGCATTTTCCGGAAACTAGTACCTTGGAGGTACTGGTTTTTTAAGCCGCACCTTCGGCGGGAAGCCTCGGGTTCGCCACGGGAGCTCTACGCTTCCCAGATGTTGCGGTGTGATCACGCCCAGAAAATCCACCTATCTTCCGTCTCTGTAGCATGGCTAATGCTCTGTGTGACCGCAGCCAATATAAGGTCCACCAAATGGATGGAAGAGAGTATTTCAGGGTAACTCCCATTCATTTCAGTGACTCTTGTGCAGAAGAACCTCCCAGTGAATTGGGCAGGAAGCAGTACACCATTACAATTAGGTACTATGTCAGCCTGGGCTTCCCTACTACAGGGGTCCAGTCTTTCCAAACCCCAATAACTGCTCTCTCAGCAACCCACTTTGTCCTCCAGAAAGAAGGCTCAATCTCCAGTTAAAAGGACCAGGAAGTAGGCAACATGAAAGACCTCTGCCTGAAACCCTGCCAGTCAGTGCAGACAATGCTGACCTTGAGAGCATAAGGTTCTGACTCACTGTGAGGCAACTTGGTGCATTCACCTGCAGCCAAGTCCTAGGAAACCCCACTCACATCCTTCTTCCAACTCCACTTATGCCATTATCTTAAAAAACCCTATTAATACAGCCCGGCCTTAATCTCTCCCTTTTCTTTGCCGCCCCCTTCAAATATCCTGATGGTGGAAATAGGCTGCAGTTGCCTTATGGCGACCCTGTAGGGTTTCCAAGGCTGAACAGAGCTGGCTTCCCAACGCCTGCCTCTGCAGAGCAACCAGAGGCTGCCTCCCATCCAAATATCTGCCAGGGCTGACCCTGCTGAGCTTCCAAGACCTGCCAAGATAGGGCCAGCCAAGTCAGGGCAAAGAACATGCTATCACGTCGCAACTGATTCATGGTGACCTCAATCCCAGGGCATCCCATGCAAGAAAGGCGCAAAGGTGATTTGCTTTTGCCTTCACCAGTCTTCTTTGGTAGTCCCCCATCCAAGTACTAACTGTGGTCCACCCTACTTAGCATCCCAGTCTCTAACAAGCTTGGGGTAAGTCGGGCTACCCAGGCTGCTTCAGCCAAAATTATGTCTTCTTCCCTCAATAACCCAAGACTCTTTCC